TTTTGAGACTGAGTCTCACTCTGTCACCCAGGCTGGAGTGCAATGGCACAATCTTGGCCCACTGCAACCTCTGCCTCCCAGGTTCAAGTGATTTTCCTGCCTCAGCCTCCCGAGTAGCTGGGATTACAGGTACTCACCATCGTGCCTGACAAATTTTTGTATTTTTGTAGCGATGAGGTTTCACCATATTGGCCAGGCTGGTCTTGAACTCCTGACCTCAGGTGATCTACCCACCTCGGTCTCCCAAAGTGCTGGGATTACAGCTGTGAGCCACCATGCTCGGCCCTTTGTGGACCTTTTAAATGTAGAAAATAACATTCTTCTAATTCAAAATAACAAATAATTTAAATTACTTTACACATTACTGTCTCAGGTCTAATGTGTCAAACAGCTTCTAACATGGTCCATGGTGATTCTCACCTTCTGGTGTTCCTGTCCTTGTGTAGTCCCCTCCCCTTGAGTGTGGGCTGGACCTGGTGACTTCTGTCTAATAAAGAGCATGCCAAATATGTCTAATTTCAAATGCCCCAATAGGCCAGGTGCAGTGGTTCATGCCTGTAATCCCAGTGCTTTGGGAGGCCAAGATTTGAGTTTAAGAGTTTAAGAGTGGCCTGGGCAACATGGTGAAACCCTATCTCTACTAAAAACATTAATTAGCCAGGCAAGGTGGAATGCGCCTGTGGTCCCAGCTACTCAGGAGGCTGAGGCAGGAGAATTAATTGACCTGGGAGACAGAAGTTGCAGTGAGCCAAGATCGTGCCACTGCACTCCAGCCTGGGCAAAAGAGTGAGACTCCATCTCAAAAACAAAAACAAAACCAACAACTGATCTGATATTTGAAGGTTTTTGAGTGGTGACATGATGCCACAAGTGGAAAATTGCACACCCAAACTCATGTGACGGGCTATAGTCAAAATAGTCAAAACTTTGGTTCCTGCACAAAATTATTTAAAATATTGCATAGCCAGGCGCGGTGGTTCACGCCTGTAATCCCAGCACTTTCGGAAGCAGAGGCCGGTGGATCACGAGGTCAAGAGATTGAGACCATCCTGGTCAACATGGTGAAACCCCGTCTCTACTAAAAATACAAAAAATTAGCTGGGCATGGTGGCGCGTGCCTGTAATTCCAGCTATTCAGGAGGCTGAGGCAGGAGAATTGCCTGAACCCAGGAGGCGGAGATTGCGGTGAGCCGAGATCATGCCATTGCACTTCAGCCTGGGTAACAAGAGCGAAACTCCGCCTCAAAAAAAAAAAATAAATAAATAAATAAAATAAAATATCGCATAGTATCACCTTCAACCTATGTGTATAAGGCATACAAGAAACATAAATGAATCTCATGTTTAGACTTGGGTCCCATCTCCAAAATATCTCATTATATATATGCACATATCTCAATATGCAAAAAATCCGAAATCCAAAACACTTCTGGTCCCAAGTGTTCCAGGTAAGGAATACACAGCCTGTACAACAAAAGTGGTGAGAAGTTGCTTCCACATCTAGGTGGATTGCAGCTCGCACCTGTTCTCTCTCACTCTCCTGGGGTGGCTTTGAGGAATGCTGCCTGCCACGCTGTAAGCTGCCCTACAGAGAAGCCCACGTGGCAAAGAACTGATGTCTCCAGGCAACAGCCAGCAAGGACCTGAGGTTGGCCAATAGCCTTGCAAGAGGGATGGAAGTAGATCCTCCCCAAGCTGCACCTTAAGAAAACTCCAGGACTGGCTAGAACCTATAGTTGCTTGTGGCTTTGAGAGAATCCCTGAGCAAAGAAACTGGTGAGGCCATGCTCAGATGCCTGACCCACAGAAACTGAGAGGTAATAGACGTTTAGGGAAATTCTTTTTTTTTTTTTAAACTAAAAGAGTTGACAATCTTATTTTCACATTTCCCAATACAAATGAAAACTGCATCTTTTTTGTCCCACTTCTCCTCTCTAAAACTATTCTCTTTGATAGGACAGGGGAGCAAGTCTTCCTTATGCTGCTTAGAAAACCCAGCATCACAGCAGCATGATCTCCTGGTGAGGCAGAACAGGCAATATAGTACTGATATAATGAGGCCTGCCCTCTATCCTTATCTGTCTGATTGAGTCATTGTGAGCCGAGTGGCCACCGTCATGGGACGGGCAGGAGGTCTCATCATTGGGGGCCCGGGCATCACTGGCATGTGGCCTCCCGTGGGTGGCCTCATTCCAGAAGCAGGTCCCACTGGTATCATCCCAGAAGGAGAAGGGCCCATCACTGGCATTATGGGAAAGGCCCCCATATGGGGTGCTGGCATCATACCGGGGCGAGAACCCGGAAGACTGTGGGGAGCTCGTATCATCGCCCTGGCAGGAGGAGGAGCAAGGAATGGAATAGGAGATATCTTTCCCTGTTGAAATGCAGCCCTTGCTTTGTATATCAGGCACTAAGCCTGCTCTTCCATCATTTCTGATAGTCGTCTTTCACATTCTCTTTGTGTTTCCTACCACTGCAGCGTGTCTTTCTCACAGATGGAGAGTCATGGATGAGGTATATATCGCAGTAGTCACAGTAAAACTTGGGCATGTTGCTCTGCAGGCCATTGGCCACTCCGTTCCCCATTTAGGAAAGCTCTTATGCAACACCAGGTAACAAATGCACCCAATGTCAGTGAGGCATCTGCAACAAGTTAGGGTTCTTACCGGGGTGTCTGGTGGTTCCGCAGGGCCTCCTTCTTCAGGAGCTCCAGCCTCTGGGGTGAGCAGAAACAGGGGTAAGCAGCTCCGGTCTTTAGCAGCGCTTCTGTGGCCTGGGCATATAGCTCCAATCGCTGAGATTGCTGGTAGGGCCCAGCAGGACCACCCCGGCGTGGGCTCTCATCAGGGGGGATGCCTGGAACACAGGTCCAGAGGATCATCATCCAATAACGACTGCTAAGGTACACACAGCTCTCATTCCCAGGCATTGTTCTTTAATAGACACTTTATACACATATTAGAGCTTTAATCCTCATAACAATCCATGAGGTTGGCACTAGTACACTGTCCCTTTTTTATTTTTGGAGGCACAGTCTCACTCTGTCACCAGGCTGGAGTGCAGTGGTACAATCTCAGCTCACTGCAAACTCCGCCTCCTGGGTTCAAGTGATTCTCCTGCCTCACCCTCCTGAATAGCTGGGAGTAAAAGCATGCACCACCTTGCCTAGCTAATTTTTGTATTTTTAGTAGAGACAGAGTTTCACCACGTTGGCCAGGCTGGTCTCAAACTCCCAACCTCAGGTGATTCACCTGCCTTGGCCTCTCAAAGTGCTGGGATTACAGGTGTGAGCCACCACTCCTGGCCCAATGTCCCTGTTAGAGGTGAAAAGTTAAAACATAGAGAGGTGAAGCAGTCATAGTCCCATGGCCTCGTGGAGTAGGGAGCAAACGGAGGTGTACGGGCTCCGAAGTCCACACCCCCCAATTGTATGTCCTCTCAATCCATCGCTTCCCTGGAGAGGGAGAAACAAGCCCAGGCCTGGGAACAGCTGACTTAGGAGAAAAAAGCATGGTTCAGGGAACAGGCCATCGGCACCTAGTTAGACTCCTGGCTCTGCCACTTAGTAGCTGTGACAAGGGATCCCGAGGTGCTACCGATGTGTGAGTACTAGGGTGCTGCGTACCATAAAAGATACTTTTCCCTAAAGCCTCAAAGCCTCCCTTCCAAGTAGGTGCAGTTATTCTCCCATTCTGTAAGAACACTGAGGCACAGAGGTGCTTTGTCGCCGGGCCAATAGAAGGGGCATGATCAGCTTCAAACTCAGACTAATGGGCACTGGAGCCCACATTCTTAACCACTCATTACACTGCCTCTTTGTGTTACTTAGCCTTTCTTTTTCCTTTTTTTTTTTTTTTTTTGAGGCACGATCTCTGTTCATTGAAGCCTCAACCTCTCAGGCTCATGCGATCCTCCCACCTCAGCCTCCCAAGTAGATGGGACTACAGGTGCACGCCACCATGCCTGGCTAACTTTTTTAAAATTTTCTATAGAGACAGGGTCTGCCTATGTTGCCCAGGCTAGTCTCAAACTCCTGCGCCCCTGAACTGCCTGACCCAGCCTCCCAAAGTGCTGCGATTACAGATGAGAGCTATTGCGCCTGGTTATATGTCAATTTTTTAAAAAGGCCGGGCATGCTGGGTCATGCCTGTAATGCAGGAACTGTGCGAGGCCAAGACAGGTATATTGTTTTGAGCCCAGGAGTTCAAGGCCAGCCTGGACAACATAGCGAAACACTGTCTCTAAGAAAAATAATAATAATAAATAAAATGAAAAAACAAAAACCCAAAGTGAGGTGCTCTGGAAGTCAGCCACCATGGGGTGCCTGAATTCCTGCCCTCCGCCTCACCAAAATACCATGGTGGGGGACAAGCTCTGTTGAGGTGCTGCAAGCCGCATTCGCACAATGATGCTGCCCCAGGAATTACACAAGGGTGGGACCCACCACCATCACCGCTGTTCATCACTGTATCCCCCGTGCCTGGCATGGTACCTGATAAGTAGGAGATCCTCTGTGAAACTGAAGCCTTCATCTCAGTCTGTGAGGCACCATGTAATTTGGCTCCTGGAAAGCCTTCTTTTTTTTTTTTTTTTTTTTGAGACAGGGTCTCACTCTGTTGCCCCAGGCTGGAGTGCAGTGGCATGACTGATAGACGACAGACAAATTCCTAGGCAGGCAGGGATAGGTCCCTGGTGAAACCTGACCTTCAAGCCAAAGACAGCCTGAAGCCTGAAAACCAAACTGTCAGTTCAGGATAGAGTCCATGACCGGAGTGAGAACTTCTATTCCTGTCTTACCCACTCTCTCTCGATTGGTTCTTTCTGAATGATATCTTTTAACCAACTGAATGGTCCTTTTTCCAAGACCACTCATGGACCAGTCGTCAGGCACTCCCCCATTCTAAGCCCATAAAAACGCCAGACTCAGCCTCACAGAGGGCTACTCCCACTTTCAGGGTCCCCTCTTGCAGTGGAGAGCTTTCCTTCTATCTTTCAATAAAATTCTTCTTTGCCTTCCTCACTCTATGGTACCTGCGCACCTCATTCCTCTTGGTTGCAGGACAAGAACCTGGAACTTGCCAAGTTGTGGGTGACGGGAATAAAAAAGCTATAACATGCTCCTGCTCACCAGACTATGGGAGAAAGCAAGCTGTAACATGCTCCTACTCACTAAGCTATAGGAGTGAAAAGCTAAGACAATGCTGGGGGATCAGACCTCAGAACTCCCCAAGCCAGAGCTGTAACACCCCTTGAAGCTCCACAATGCTGGCATCTCCCAAGTTTTTGGGTGCCACCCTGTTCCTCTCATCTAGATGCTGGTGCCCAACACAGAAGCCACTGGTGGCACACCCAGTCCAGCCAAGGGCTGAGTATGGAACCACAGCAGGTGTGGGATCCAAGTGGGCACGAGCCGAGTGCAGCCTGCTGGGCCTAGTGAGCCTAGAAGGCACAAGCAAGGCCCCAGCAGAGGTGATGGCAACCGCAGAGATTTCCGGCTGGCGAAGTGGCACTGAAGGAATTCTGTAATATGATCACAGCTAACTCCAGCCTCAACCTCAACTTTCCCGGGCTAAGGTGATGCTACTACCTCAGCCTCCCAAGTAGCTAGGACTACAGGGGTATACCACTACCCCCAGCTAATTTTTCTGTAGAGACGAGATCTCACTATGTGGCCCAGGTTGGTCTTGAACTCCTGGGTCCAAGTGCTCCTCTCTCCTCAGCCTCCCAAAGTGCTCGGATTCCAGGGATGAACCCCTGTGGGCCGTGTGGCAAGCCTTCTATCCTCACATCCCTGGTCATTCTGCTTTGTTCACTATGCTTAGACCAAGCTGGTCTCTTTGATTCTCCTCAAATACATACAGAATTTCCTGCTGTGGGGGCCTCTGCATTGGCTCTTCCCTTTGCTTTGAACATTCTTCCCACAGGTCACCATGGGGCTGGCTCCTCATTTCATGCAGGTCTCTGCTCCAGCATCGCCTCCTAGGAGAAGACCACCCTATCTACAAGGGTATCCCTCGCCCCAGTTCCTTGGCCTGTTATTCTTTTTTCCATACAGGTTATCATCACTTAATATCATATGAAGGATGAATTAGGAGACAGGAGCAATGGTCCATGACTGTGATGCCAGCACTTCGGGAGGCCAAGGTAGGGGAATTTCTTGAGTCCAGGAGTTCAACAGCAGCCTGGGCAACACAGCGAGACCCTGCCTCTACAAAAACATAAATTAATAAAATTAGCCAGGTGTGGTGGCACACAGCTATAGTCTCAGCTACCAAGGAGGCTAAGGCAAGAGGATCCTTTGAGCTCAGGAATTTGAGATTACAGTGAGCTGTGTTTGAACCACTGCTCTCGTGATCTCAGCTCACTGCAACCTCTGCCTCCTGGGTTCAAGCTATTCTCGTGTTTCAGCCTCCCAAGTAGTTGGGACTACAGGCACATGATACCACGCCAGCTAATTTTTGTATTTTTAGGAGAGATGGGGTTTTGCCATGTTGGTCAGGCTGGTTTCAAACTCCTGGCCTCAGGCGATCCACATGTATTGCCCTCCCAAAGTGCTGGGATTACCGGCATGAGCCACTGCACCTGGCCAAGTGCAGGGTCTTTGTTAAATATCTCTAGCACCTGGAATGGTGCCTGGATTACAGTAACTGGTCTTGTATAGAATCCTTTATTCAGCAAACCTAGACTGAACACCTGCTAAAGCCTTCTACAATAAAAGATAGATATGAAAGCATTTTCTACTCTTTAGGAACGCAGAGTCTAGGGAATAATTTACCTGCGATTAGAACACACATCTCAAAACAGTCTTGGGATTTTTCTTTTTTTTTTTTTTTTTTCAATCTCTAGTCTAGCAGAGTCTTGACATTTTTCCTTGGGGATCTCCCCTTTCCTAGTCATACCTGTCCATATAGGTAGACAGCTGTCGACCCCGGAAAAAGCACACTCCTCTTTGTTCTCCCTGTCCTCAGGATTAAACTTCCCACAAGATCAACTTCAGAAGCTGTACATGTTTTGTGTGGCTTATACAATGTGGTTAAAAAAAACATCTGGGCCCAGATTTAATAATGGTAAGTATTCAGCCAGAAAAACTGGATTTCTGGCTCCTCTTGGAACTCAGAAGATTGGACAAGCTGGGCCAGCATTCCCGCATGGGCACAAGGAGCCAGAGCTCAGAGGCGCTCCCTCCTCTGGATGAGGTGTGGTTTCCTAGCTCGGCACAGGCCCAGCTCCTCCAGTTCCCACTTGGCCTGTGTTTCCTGCCTGGCCCCTGAAGGGAATGGACTTGAGATTCTGAAGTGAAAACGAGAATCTCAAAACAGCCTTGGCAGTAGCTGACGCCTATAATCTCAGCTCTTTGGGAGACTGAGGGCTGGAGGATTGCTTCAGACCAGCAGTTTGAGAACAGCTTGGGCAACATAGTGAGACCTCATCTCTACAAAAAAAAATTAAAAACTAAAAATTAGCCACGTGTGCTGGTGCATGCCTATAGTCCCAGCTACTCGGGAGCCTAAGGTGGGAGGATCACTTAAGCCCAGGTCAAGGCTACACTGAGCTATGATTGTGCCATGGAACTCTAGCCTGGGGAACAGAATGAGACCCTGACTCTAAAAAATTAAACAATAAAGAACCAGTCTTGGAGCTGTGTTTTGGAGAGCTTCAGCATTTTTTCGGGTGGCATCTGCCACCCCAGGCAGCACAAATGCAGCCATTTCTCCAGGAACTCCTCATTTCCCACCCTGGATTCCATAAGAAGATCCACAGTCTCCTTTTCCTGCTTCCTGTTCCTTCCCTGCAGAAAAATCCTTTCTCTGCCAGGCTCACCTGCCCACTCCAGCATGTCCTCAATATTCTCCGCTGCCCCAGGCACAAGGCGAGTCTGATCTGTGTCCTCCAGCCTCAGGATGAAGCTCCCCTGGTACTTCTTGGCAAAGATGTAGTTGTACAGGGCAGTGCGGAGGCCACCCAGGTGTAAGAAGCCTAGAGAAGAGACAGCTCAGATAAGACGGGGAAGATGAGCTAAAAGGCCTCATCGAGGGGCAAGTAAGCACTGCTGTGACAGAACGCTGCAATGTGAAAGACCAGCAGGATGCAGTGGCTCATGCCTGTTTTCTTACCACTTTGGGAGGCCAAGGCGGCAGGATCACTTGAACCCAGGAGATTTTTGTACTTTTTTAAGACAGAGTCTCACTCTGCTGCCCAAGCTGGAGTACAGTGGCACGATCTTGGCTCACTGCAACCTCTGCCTCTTGGGTTCAAGCAATTCTCATGCCTAGCCTCCTGAGCAGCTGGGACTACAGGTGCATGCCACCACACCCAGCTAATGTTTGTATTTTTGGTAGAGACGGGTGTTGGCCATGTTGGCCAGGCTGGTCTTGAACTCCTGGCCTCAAGTGATCCCCTAGCCTCAGCCTCCCAAAGTGCTGGGATTACAGGCAGGAGCCACCACACCTGGCCAATTTTTTTGTATTTTCAGTAGAGAGAGGATTTTGCCATGTTGGTCAGGCTGGTCTTGAACTCCTGACCTCAACTGATCCATCTGCCTTGGCTTCCCAAAGTGCTGAGATTACAAGCGTGAGCCGCTGCACCTGAGTTTGTGATCAGCCAGAGCAATGTGGCAACACCTTGTCTCTGCAAAAAATATAAAAATTTAGCTGGGCATGGTGGCACTTGCCTGTGGTCTTAGCTACTGAGGTGGGAGGATCACCTGAGCCTGGGGAAACTAAGGCTACAGTGAGCCATGATCACACCTCTGCACTCCAGGCTGGGCAGCAGAGTGAGACTGTCTAAAGAAAAAAAAAATTTTTTTTTAATTTTTTCAAAGATTAAGAACTAGCTACCCCTATGCTCTCTCTCTAGACACATTTAATCCCTCATCCTGAAAGTGGAAGACCACCCAGGATTTGGTGCATGTCATTTTATTAAAAGGCTCCAATTCTCTCCAACAGCATCCACCACTCTATTTTGATATTTGTCTCAAGGCCAAGCAAGTTTCATCTGAAGAAGCAGCAGGGGGTTATTCATTGAAGCCATATCATGTACATTTAACTTACAGAAAATCAATGATGTTCGCTGGGAAAAAAATTAATTACAAAGAAACTACAAATTTAAAATACTGTACAATCACATTGTGGGCCAGGTACAGTGACTCACATATGTAATCCCAGCACTTTCGGAGCAGAGGCAGGATACTTGAGTCTGTAAGTTTGAGACCAGCTAGGGCAACATAGTGAGATCCTGTCTCTATTAAGAAATAAATCACAGGCCGGGCTGGTGGCTCACACCTGTAATCTCAGCACTTTGGGAGGCCGAGGTGGGTGGATCAAGAGGCAGGAGTTCGAGACCAGCCTGGCCAAGATGGTGAAACCCCATCTCTACTAAAAATACAAACATTAGCTGGGCACAGTGGCAGGCCCCTGTAATCCCAGCTACTTGGTAGGCTGAGGCAGGAGAATCGATTGAACCCAGGAGGCAGAGGTTGCAGTGAGCTGAGATCACACCACCGCACTCCAGCCTAGGCGACAGGGTGAGACTCCGTCTCAAAAAAACAAAATGGAGGGAAAAAAAAAAATCACATATTTTTACTTTTTTTAAAAGAAAATTTATTTTTAAAATTTGAGATGGGGGTCTCACTGTTGCCCAGGCTGAGGCTGGAGTGCAATGGTGCAGTCACGGCTCACTGCAGCCCCAATCTCCCAGGCTCAATCAGTCCTCCCACATCAGCCTCCCAAGTAGCTGGAACTACAAGTGTACACCACCACACCTGGGTAATATTTGTATTTTCTTTTTGTAGCAGCAAGATCTCACTATGTGGCCTGGGCTGGTCTCGAACTCCACTCCTGGGCTCAAGCAATCCTTCTACCTCAGCCTCCTAAAGTCCTGGGATTACCGACATGAGCCACCATGACTTGCCAAGATTTTCACCTTAAATGCTGGCTTTAAACACTAACCAAAAGTAGCGTTTGAGTCCATCATCTTTCTCTTCATCAGTTTAAACTCCTAAGATTTTACTTTTTCATCATTCCTGTCTAAAAACTGAAAGTTAACAGTTTTTCCAGGGCAGTCATTACCTCTTACCCTACCTTCTTTGGACCAGCCCATAACCCTAGGTTACAATGAGCTCATCTATATTTATAGGTACAAGAGGCAGCACAAGAGAGGAAACACTCTTCTGGAGCTGGGCTGACCCTGCTTCAACACTGATGGGTATAACCTTCAGGCAATTACTGCAAGGCCACCAGAAAACCAGTGAGGTTCAGTGGCACTGGATCCCAAGAGTCCCTAAGACAGAAGAGGAACCCAGCTGCTAAAAACAAGGCCTCTTGGCTGGGCGCGGGGGCTCAAGCCTGTGTAATCCCAGCACTTTGGGAGGCCGAGGCAGGCGGATCACTAGGTCAGGAGTTCAAGGCCATCCTGGCCAAAATGGTGAAAACCCCATCTCTAGTAAAAATACAAAAATTAGCTGTGCATGGTGGCAGGTGCCTGTAATCCCAGCTACTCAGGAGGCTGAGGCTAAGGCGAGAAAATCGCTTGAACCAGGACCCAGGAGGCAGAGGTTGAAGTGAGCAGAGATGGCACCACTGCATTCCAGCCTAGGATACAGAGCAAGACTCTATCTCAAAAAAAAAAAAAAAAAAGGCCTCTTACACCAAGTACACTGGGATTCAAATGGTGCATCCACCATTTATTAGTTGCTACCCCTTGGGAAGGAACTCTGCTTAACTTTTATGAGCTTCTACTTTCTCATCTGTCAGAGGGATTAAGAGCCAAAAACTTGGAATCTTCCTTATTACAGGGTTGCTCTGAGATCTAAATGCTGACCAAAGTTAACCCGCAATTAATTTCAGCTACTGTAATGATCTGTGCCTGACAATTCTTTTATATGTTTATAATCAAAAGCCTTTCCCATATGGGCTTTTCCTGCAAACGAGTAAGGAAATGAAAATTATAATCAACATAACAGAGGATGGTAAGTGCTTTCTGTGTATTAGACCTTGCTAAGTGGTCCAGCTGCATGAGCTTAACCCCATGAGACAGATACTATTATTGGCCCTGTTTTGACGAATGGTAAAACTGAGGCTCAGATTCATTAGATAATTTGCATATCTAGGCCACCATGCATGGTGGCTTACACTTGTAATCTCAGCACTTTTGGGGGCCGAGGCAGGTGGATCACTTGAACTCAGGAGTTTGAGACAAGCCTGGGCAACATGGCAAAACCCCATCTCTACAATAAAGTACAAAAATTAGCTGGGCATAGTCGCACGTCTGTAGTCCTAGCTACTTGGGAGGCTGAAGTGGGAGGTTCACTTGACAGAGCCAGAAACCTTCACAAAATAATAACCATAATAATACTGATAGTAATAATAATTTGAACATCTAGTAAGTTATACATTTAAGAAGTGGCGAAGACAGAAATTTGGATCCAGGCAATTCCAGGCCTTGGCATTCTACGGCTTTTCAAAGCAAAGCGTACAATCCAGTGCTGGTTTGAAAACAGTTGTCAGTTCACAATCAAGTACAGAAACTCACAGTAAAAGTTTAGAAACTTTTGTTGTTTTTTTGCGATGGAGTCTCACTCTGTTGCCCAGACTGGACTGCAGTGGCACTATCTTGGCTTACTGCAACCTCTGCCTCCTGGGTTCAAGAGATTCTCGGGTGTCAGCCTCCTGAGTAGCTGGGATTACAGGCCTGTGCCACATGCCTAGCTAAATTTTGTGTTTAGTACAGACGGGGTTTCGTCATGTTGGCCAGGCTGTAGAAACTTACATAGCAATCTGACAGAATGATTTTTACCTCTGCTAAACCAAATAAGGAGAGATCGGTTTGTATTTTGAATGTTTTCAAAATTTTATTTTTCTAGTCATTAATTTATATTAATTTTATGCAAATATTGATACATAATTGATTGGAAATTAAAAACCAGTACTTCTACCACGGATGGTTTGAAAAGCACTGCTCTGGCCAGGTGCGGTGGCTCACTCCTATAATCCCAGCACTTTGGAAGGCCAAGATGGGTGAATCACAAGGCCAGGAGATCGAGACCATCCTGGCCAACATGGTAAAACCCCGTCTCTACTAAAAATACAAAAATTAGCTGGGCATGGTGACATGCACCTGTAGTCCCAGCTACTCAGCAGGATGAGGCAGGAGAATCCCTTGAACCTGGGAGGCGGAGGTTACAGTGAGCCAAGATCGCACCACTGCACTCCAGCCTGGGGACAGAGTGGGACTCTGTCTCAAAAAAAAAAAAAAAAGCACTGCTCTGTACTACACTGCCTGCCAGAAAGATCCTGTCACATACAGCTGGGATCTTGCCACAAAGATCCTTGTATGTTTACGCTGGGATTTGGGATGAGAGGAATACCCAGTGTAGAAAAGGCAGAAGGTAGCCTTACTGGTGGGAAGCCCCCGACAAGATCTCCAACATAATATACAACAGGCCTCTGTCACCCTCTAGCTTGCTAAGTTCCCAATAACAATAGCACAGTGCCTTGGTACCTGCGATTTCCTCTACCCAGAAGGTTCCTTCTTTGAGATGGAATTTCACTCTTGTTGCCCAGGCTAGAGGGCAATGGTACGATCTCAGCTCACTACAACCTCCACCTCCCAGGTTCAAGCAATTCTCTGCTTCAGCCTTCCAAGTATCTGCGATTACAAGTGTGTGCCATCATGCCCGGCGAATTTTGCATTTTTAGTAGAGACGGGGTTTCATCATGTTAGTCGGACTGGTCTCAAATGATCCACTCGCCTCGACCTCCCAAAGTGCTGGGATTGCAGGCGTGAGCTACCGCGCCCGGCCTCCTGAAGGTTTCTTCTTATAGGCTTCACAAAGCTGGCTCCTTCTTGTCATTTGGATCTCAGCTCAAATGTTACCTGCTCAGTAAGGCCTTCTGGAGCATCCTTCCTAAACCCGTCTCCTATCCTGCTTCATTTCCCGCATGGCACATGTGACTCTAAAACTATTTATTTTTATAGGTGTCCGCGGCAGCCACTGGGCTGCAGGCTTCTTGACAGCAGGGCCCCTACCTTTCTCAATGATCACTGTATCCCAGCGTCTACAACACCTGGCACACAGTTTGTCGTCAATACACATGTATGGAATGCATGAAAAAAAGATGGAAAGAGATGGGATAGCACAAAAAACACAAAGAAATCCCTGGCAATTTAAATTATTTCCGATCCTGCACCTCAGTTTCCGCCTCTGTACAATGGGCTCCCGCTGCCTTAACCCTTCTCCGCCCGCCAGCTCTGACACCACCGGAAAGGATTCATTCAGGAACTTTCGGGGGGCGGAGACGGGACAGGGGGCCGTGGCCTGCGGCGTCACGTCCACCAAGGTTACCTGTGGGGCTGGGAGCGAACCGCACTCGCACCGCAACCCCGGGATCAGTGCCCAAGCTAGCCTCACGCCGTCCCACGGGACGGCCTGAGGCCGCCAAGGGCCTCCCGCGTTGCAGCAGTCTCTCCAGGAGCGCCGCCATGTGGGGTGGAATCGCACACGTGGGCTTCTCCCTGCGTCACTTCCGTGGACTCCTTCCAGCCAATCGGCCTCCGCCACAGCCAGCGCAGCCCTGCCCCTTAAAGTCACAGGCCTCCTAGCGCGAAAGCCCACGCCCCCCGAACGGCTGCGGCCGCCCTCGGCCTCCAGGGGGCAGAGCCCAGTGAAAGGGTGATTTCCCGGACCCGCCCCCTTCGGCTTGGGAAAGCTAAAGCGTGGCAGGGGCCTGGCCGGGGAAGCGGAGGAGGCGGGTCTCCATAGAAACCTCCACCTGTTTCCGGCCGGGCTGCGAGCGATTAGGGGCTGCTGCGGGGGCCAATCTCAGCCAGCTCGCCTCTTCCCAGCGGCCTCTGCGGGAGCGGTGGGTGTTGTACACAATCATCATGGCGGCGGCCGGGGCCCCGGATGGTGAGTGCGGCGGGGGTGGCGGGTGGCGGGCGCCGGGCCCGGGCCGAGGTTGCCGGCGCTCCTCGGGGGGATGCGGCTCGGCCCGGGAGGGAGAAGCGCGGCTCGGGAGCGGAGGTCCGGTGGCGTCCGGGCAGCTTCCGTTCCCAGGCCCAGCCCGCGGCGAGCGCCCACCCCTAACCCCCTTGCAGGCATGGAAGAACCTGGCATGGACACGGAGGCCGAGACCGTGGCGACCGAGGCGCCCGCGCGGCCCCTCAACTGCGCGGAGGCTGAAGCCGCGATGGGGATGGCGGCCGAGGACTCCGGCGCCGCACGAGACAGCCTGCAGCCGGCCCCGGCCCAGCCCCCTGGGGACCCTGCGGCCCAGGCCTCGGTCAGCAACGGCGAAGACGCAGGCGGCGGCGCGGGCAAGGAGCTGGTGGACCTGAAGATCATCTGGAACAAGACCAAGCATGACGTGAAGGTCCCCTTGGACAGCACAGGCTCCGAGCTGAAACAGAAGATCCACTCGATTACAGGTAATTTCTGCGGTGCTGACAGCCAGTCTTCCCCACCCCGCCTCCTGACGGCCCTTGCACCGTGCTAGGCACTTGGTGGCTTTCTTTGCATCAGGTACTCCCATCCTCACAACAGTCTTAATGAAAGGCACTTGGATGCCCATTACTCAGCTGGGGAAAGAGACTCAAGTTTATAGAGCTAGTAAGTTGTAGAGCTGGGATTCAAGCCCAAGTCTGACATTTAGGCCTTAGTTTCTCACTAACGTTTTTCTAACATCTCTAATTTAAAAATCACGTAAGGCACTTGTTTTACAGCTTCCCGGCCCTTTCTCAGGAGATTCTGATTCAGTGGGTCTGTGATGTAGCCAGGAATTTATTTTTAGCAAATATCTTAGGTAATTCTCCTAAGTGAAGTTTAGGAAACACTGCTATTGACTTTGATGCTGGTTCTTCACAGTTGATACTATTCTTAATTTTACCTTGTTTATAGTGCTTTGACGTCTGATTTTTTTTTTTTTTTTTTTTTTGAGACTGAGTCTCACTCTGTTGCCCAAGCTGGAGTGCACTGACACGATCTCAGCTCACTTCAACCTCCGCCTCCCAGGTTCAAGCGATTCTCCTGCCTCAGCCTCCCAAGTAGCTGTTATTACAGGCACCTGCCACCCTGCCTGGCTAGTCTTTTTTTTGTTGTTTTTTTGGTGATTTTTTTTTTTTTTTTTTTGTGTGTTTTTTTTTTTTTTTTTTAAATATGGACGGGGGTTTCACCATGTTGGCCAGGCTGGTCTTGAACTTCTGACCTCAGGTGATCCGCCCACATCTGCCCCCCAAAGAGCTAGGATTACAGGCATGAGCCACCACTCCTGGCATTGAAATTTATTGTTTTAAGGCTTCCTACATGTAGCCTTGTAAGCTCCATTAAGAACAGGAGTTTTATCCCTATTGGCTTCTGTAGCTCTGATGTCTGTGGATTCTCAATATTTGAATGATATGATTGAGGAGCAACTTGGAAAGAATGAGAGCTAATATTTATTGAACAGTTACTGAATAATAGGCACCATACTAAATGCCCTGCATTTGTCCTGTGTCTTAATCCTTAAAACAAGTCTATACAAAAGGACTTATTTTCATAAATCTTATGGAGTTCTAGAAACTGAGTTTCAGAGGTAGTAAATCGCCCAAGTTCACAAAGCTAATAGGTGGTGGAGTCAGCATTCACTTTCTAGTCTGTTACCAAAGAGCTGTGTAGGATCCATACATTTTTTTCCTTCTTTCCTTTCACTGTCTGCCTTCTACCTTTTCCCAAGGTCTCCCGCCTGCCATGCAGAAAGTCATGTATAAGGGACTCGTCCCCGAGGATAAGACATTGAGAGAAATAAAAGTGACCAGTGGGGCCAAGATCATGGTGGTTGGCTCCACCATCAATGATGTTTTAGCAGTAAACACACCCAAAGATGCTGTGCAGCAGGATGCAAAGGCCGAAGAGAACAAGAAGGAGCCTCTCTGCAGGCAGAAAGTGAGTCCATCTTGTGCTTCTTGGTCCTGAGAAATTTGAGGCTTTGTCCTCTCGAGCCTTGGCTGGTTATAGTCTCCCTAGAATAAGCTCCTTTTTGGACAGGGCCCATGATGGAAATTTATGGCAGCAGTTGGGTGCCGCAGAGTGGAGGTGACAACTACCTGAGATTTGCAACTTTGTCTCATCTGGCGGGTCAGTGTGTCTCAAGTCTACCTACTTTAGGATAAGACCTTGGTAAAGGGAGGCTTCAGATTGGTGTTAAAAGGAATCAGACATGGGTTTCTCTCTCCTTTTCAGTGCTAGAGAAAAAACCAGTACTAGAAGCCAGCCCTCGTTTTGTACAGGTGCTTACATGTGGCTTTTTGGTTTGTGGCTTTCCCCAAGTCCACAGCCCTGGCTAGGCACGGGAATCAACAACTGAAGGTTCCCCTAAAACTGATCGTTTCAGGAAGCTGAATGAAGCCGAGTAAGAAGACAACTACACTTAGTTATTTTTTTGTCCTGATCTGTGAAATAGGGGCTTGATTTTTCACATTCTCTGTTCTTTTGTATCAAGAGAGCCTGCCTTGTCTTATGCTCATCATAGCCGTTAATCTTTTGTGTAACGAGGAAAAATGAGATTTTGCTATACAAGGAACAGGTTGTAAGAATCATCATTTACTGTCTTTTTACCTGGCAAATCCCACTGATTGCTGTGGAGCCTCCTGATCATTCCTATTGTTCCAAGGAAAACAGGTGTTCTCAAATGTGTCCGGAGTAAAGTAGATCAGCTTGAATCAACATTAGTTTTATTGGGCCATAGGCACTAAGATGTATGACCAACAATAAGAGGAGGGCACAGTTTGTGTTACAGATTGATAATCCCCCATGTATGCTTCCAAAACCCCAAAGGAGTCTAAAACTAAAAGTGTTTTTATTTAAAACAAAACAAAAAAATTTTATTTTTGAGATGGAGTTTTTCATTCTTGTTGCCCAGGCTGGAGTGCAGTGGCACCATCTTGGCTCACCACAACCTCTGCCTCCCAAGTTCAAGTAATTCTTCTGCCTCAGCCTCCCAAGTAGCTGGGATTACAGGCATGCCCAACTATGGCCAGCTAATTTTGTATTTTTAGTAAAGGCAGGGCTTCACCATGTTGGTCAGACGGGTCTCTAACTCCTAACCTTGGGTGATCCACCCCCCTCAGCCTCCCAAAGTGCTGGGATTACAGGCGTGAGGCACCGTGCTTGGCCATGTTTTTATAAATTTAACAGCCCCCCCAAAACCTGACCAGAGTTAGTGTGAATTTTTCTCTTTGGTGATAAGGTCCTGCCCTGGACCCCACAGAGAAGATTGTGTTATAGATTTTAAAACAATATTATCTTTGTAAAACTCCTAAAACTCTTAAAGTTTAAAACTCTAGGGTTTGAGATAAGGAGTTGTAGAACTATGTTATCTAAAAGGTGTTGATTTGGAGACTTCAGCCCCACATACAGGTTGTTATGTCTTAAAACCGATTGAGTTCATTCTCACATTCCTGTAGTCCTCTCCCACGTGTCAGGAGTGGTCCCACTGGTCACACCCTTAGAGCGTAGCGTGCCTCCTAAATACAGGTTTTGAGTTACTAATGGTAGCTTAACAGGCCTAGAACTGTTCTCCACAATACAGGAAATCTTGTTCAAAAGGTACTTGAAAGGTGTGACTCGAATTATACTTCCAGCCCATGCTGCTCTGTTTCATTGAGGCCAATTATGAGGCATCACATGACCTAATGAGGCGGATATAGTCCCTTGGCTTTTTATCACCTTGTTAAGGGGTCTGGGGCTGATGTCTGGAGTGACTGTTTGCTAGCAGTCTGGCAATGCTGAGTTTATTCCTCCGAGGGATTCTGCCATGCCATTGAGGATTTGGGCTGGCTTATGGCTACCTGGTGCTTACATTTGATTAAATTTTTACCTTCTATCCATTCATTGCCCCATAGTACCAGCTTTACTAAGCAGTGGCTGTGCCTATAAGGCCACAGATGGAGAAGAAAGAAGACTCAGGCATTTGGGCCTGGCAGGAGAGCTGTTTAAGGGGCCCTGAACTTGGAATCCTTAAAGAGCTGCCTCAGAGTTCTTGGGGCAGGTGGGAGGGGAGGAGTTTAGAGGCTTCTTAATGTCAGGTTATAGAGTAATTTGCATTTCTGACTGAAGGGTGGCTCCTACAGGTTCCTGTTTAGCTGGAGTTAAGGGTAGGGCAGTGGGGAAAATGTCTGCCATGGGCTGGGTTTCCATTTGTTGAAGAGCTGCTCCTTCTAGGCAGTTAGACCGATCATCAACATGTTGTAGTGTTCTCTGGGAGTTTAAGTTGAAACAGGTGGGTGCCTTTTTTTGGGGGGGGCCTAGTAGAGCAACACCCTTTGTGGCACTCTTTAGCTTGATGGTTTATTTCAGGAGTGAATTTTTTTTTGAGGGGAGAAGGGCAATCTGGAAATCCCATTTATTCTAGAACTTTGATATCTAATATGGTAGGTAGCTACATGTGGCTGGTTAAAACTGAAATGAAATTAAGAATTCAGTTCCTTACTCATACTAGCTGCATTTCAAGTGCATAATAGTCACAATAGTAGATAGTGGCTCGCACAGGTACAGAACATATTCCTCTCCCCAGAAAGTTTTTCGGGACAGCATTGTTCTGTAGTTTCAAAGGATCCTTGGGCTGTAGTCATTAAAAGCTTTTGAGCCAAAACACTAAGGCTTTCTTTATCCTTTGTTTCAAAGGAATAGTATATGACTAAACGTAGTCAGCTGTTTCATTTCATCCTCTTTTCTGACTTACAGCAACACAGGAAAGTGTTGGATAAAGGAAAACCCGAAGATGTGATGCCATCTGTTAAGGGTGCCCAGGTAAGGCAGATTTCTTTGTGAACATTCTGAAAATGAGCCAGTCCCACCTTCTAACTTGAGGTTCTTCCAATCCTGTCCCTTCTCTTTTTTCTTTTTTCGAGACAAAGTCTTGCTGTGCCGCCCAGGCTGGGGTGCAGTGTGGTGATCTTGGCTCAACTGCAGCCTCCGCCTCCCAGGTTCAAGTGATTCTCATGCCTCAGCCTCCTGAGTAGCTGGGATTACGGGGTGCGCACCACCACACCTGGCTAATTTTTGTATTTTTAGCAGAGACAGGGTTTTACCGTGTATTCCAGGCTAGTCAAACTCCTGACCTCAGGTGATCCACCCGCCTTGGCCTCCCAATGTGCTGGGATTACAGGCATGAGCCACCGCGCCTGGTCCCTTGTCTTTTTTTTGGACCATGCCTCTGTCTCTTACCATGCTCTTATGCTTTCAGGAGCGCCTGCCAACGGTACCCCTGTCTGGCATGTACAATAAGTCTGGAGGAAAAGTGAGACTCACCTTTAAGCTAGAACAAGACCAACTGTGGATTGGCACTAAAGGTATGTTCTTCCTTGCCTGCTTGCTGGCCTGCTGCCTGCCTCTGGCACCCAGCAGCACTCACGTTGTGGAGTGCGATTCCGCCCCTCCTTCTGAAACCTCTCTCTACACTGTGCTTTGCGTGCTTCTGGCTTCTTTTTTTTTCTTTATAAATAGAGATGGGGTTTCTCCATGTTGGTCAGGCTGGTCTCGAACTCCCAACCTCTGGTGATCTGCCCGCCTCGGCCTCCCAGAGTGCTGGGATGACAGGCGTGAGCCACCACGCCCGGCCGCTTCTGGCTTTTAAATTCGCTTTTAGACGCTCGCCTTTTGTTCGGACCCTTTTTCCTCATTGTTTTTAGTCTGATCTCAGGGCTGATCCACCAAACATTGGCTCTTCAGTTGCACACAAATTCAGAGGCCCCAAACATGGCCCAAGGACCAAATCTGGTCCACAGACAAGGCTTTTGTGGGATGACACACAATCCATAAAAATCGGAGGATTTCACTTAATCTGTTTTTTGTTTTGTTTTGTTTTGTTTTTGTTTTTGTTTTGGCTTCTCTTGAAAAATCAAATGATCTGGCCCTTTGGGGCCTGCATTCTCACATGGCATTGACCCACTAGAGCTGAGTGGTAGTTTCCAGTGGGCCATGCTACAGTCCTCATAGTCCCGTTTATCTTAGAAGTAGCCAGCTTTGTTCATTCGTCACCTGCCTGGCCCCTGTAGGTCAGAGTTTGACCCTATAGTGGGTGAAGTTTTCCTTACCACTGCCTAGGAACCTGTCTCTCCCACCCCTCCTGGTTGCCCTCTGCCTGTCCCACCCTAGCCTGTGCACGGTGTCTGGATCAGCCTTACTGTTTGCTGGAAAGTGTCTCTGACTGTCCCCCCTCTTCCCTCCCCCAGATGCTTACAAAGTGTTTTCAGTTACACTGCAGAACTGTCTGTCCCTTTCTTTGCTACACTGTTGCGCCAGTTTAGATTCCCAAGCATCTTTAAACCTGGTCTGTTCAAAGCAAGTTACCCTATTGCACTGCCCCATCTGTGTTTTCTTCTGTCCTGTCCATTTTGCCTATTGCTTTTTGTCATGGGTACCCGTGCTCAAGAACCGTTGGCTCTTTAAGGACACGTTCCAATGCCTAACCTTAGCGTTCAGTGTTCTCAACACCGGGCCTTAGTTTAAATTTTGGTTCCAGCTTCCGGCCCGTTTGCCCTGTGTATTTCAGCCGCATCTCTCTATGAAACTCCCAGTGTGCTTTGCACAGCTCCTTGTCTTTGCTCATGCTGTGCCCTTACCTGGAATGCCTTCTTCCCATTCCTTGTTTTTAATAAAGTCATCCAAGGCCCTACTTAAATGTCCTCTCCGAATGAAGTCTTCCTTGGTTCTCCCCCCACCCTCCAAATGACTTGCTGCAGCTTCTGTTCATAGAGCGCTTCATTTATATGCCCAGAGCACTCATTACTCTCTGACTTGTCTGTCCCCCTGTTAGATTCCTGGAGGGAACCGAACATGCCTAAATCACCTGTTTCTGGCCAGCACTGTAGGTATTCAGTGTTCGAGGTAAATGCTAAAGAGAAGTATAGGGGGTCCCATCATCTGAGGTTCATTGGTCTCAGGGACAGGCCATTTAGTGAGACTCCACTTAAAATGGGACCAAGTTCTATGGAGAATAATTGGGGCGGGGTGGTGGGGAGAGAGATTTTTTTAAACATCTAAGACGCAAAAATCAATATTCAACCCTATACTGATTCTTAAAGTGAACAAAAATTGAAATGCCAAAAACGCTTGAGTTTTTCTATCAATTTTACGATAACTTGCTGTTTTCTTCATTTCACATTCAACTCTAACTGCATGGGCAAAGCAAGTTTTTGCAGTATATCTGAGCGTTCCCCCCAGTTTTTGCAAGGGCCTTTGAACCCTCTGCTGGACGATTCTTTTCTGCAGATCCTGTCCCATCTCCCACCTTGTCGGTATTTAGCTACCCAGCCTCTGTTGACTTTGCAGGTGATTTTGCTTAGTTCTGTCTCATTGCATTCACTTGCTGAAGTGCATAGACTTCCTGCCTCTTGCTGGACTTCTTCTTTTGCTTGTGGACAGCCTTATTTGAAGGCAGTTGCTAAGGCTGATCTGGAAAGACCCTGCCATGAGGACAGGTACAGGCAGAGAGTTCTGGATGGGAACTAAGTCTGGAAGTGCTCATTGGTTCCTCGGGGATATATTTTTGTGTCAGGAAGTTGTGTAGGGAACACATCATAACTGCAAGAACTGATAGAACAAGAACCTCCTGACCCTGTATTGGAGGTTTTCTTTTTACTAGTAGGAGCAGCTGCCTTCCTGCTTTGGACTGAAGGCAGAGCTCTAGAAGCAGCTCAGTATGTTGGGGCTTCTGAGCCCTTGAAAGCCTCATTACTCACCAGCCTTGTCGAGGAGCATGGCACTGAACTATTCATGTCTTCTAGGGTTGACCAAGGCTGAGATTTTCATTCCCACCCAGAGGACTGTACCTCTGGAACCCAAGGGGCAGGCACTCTTCCCAGTTGCCCAGGAGTCCTGTCATCTGAGTGTCATAAGCACTCATAGGAGGACAGCTTGTTCTGGGAGTTGGCTACTATAGCCACTGGCTTCATCTTTCTGCTGGCAAGGAGAAGCGGCTATGGAATGACCATCCCAGCAGCGAGTTGGCCTCTCCATGGGGCACTTTGCTGAGTAAGTGACCCTTAAGGGCTGTTACTCTTGACTAAACTCTCCTAGCTTGTGTAGGAGTAGGCAGTACTAACAGCTTCAAAAGAATGAGAACAAGCTCCAGGCAGGAAATGTGAAGCTGCTAGGGGAGAGCATGTGCCCTGCTCGTAGGAAAGTTGAATCTGGCTGATGGTCTGATGTCGTGATCAGGAGTGTGGGTCCAGAAATGCCCAATTTTCAGACTTTTCAAGAGAAGCCAGAAAACTGTTAGATATTTTTGTGTGAAATCTCCAGACGTTTCAGGATGAAAGGTGTTTTACAAGTTTCCATCTTAAAGACAACTGCTGCCCAGGTCCTGCTTTGTGGACCGCTGTTGTAGAGCCACTAAAAGTCCAAACCTAAATGAACAGATTCAGGTCCCTCTTCCCCAGCCCCCATTTTTGAGAGACTGAGGCCCACAGAACCGAAGTAAAATGTCTTAAGTCCCCAGCTAGACCAGAACCCTGGTCTCTGAATTCCCAGTCTGTTTGGCCAGTTTATCTATTTTAGATTCTACTTTTCCGGATTTTTCCTCCTGCAAAGGCTGCAAGTTTTTTTTCTACTTGGTTTAGCTGTTTGCTGAGCCTCTGCGCCCCATCCCCGAGGTGTCTGCCACTCCAGGGTGGTCATGTCCTGTTGTGCAGGTGCACCACACGCCTGACCTCACCCCGTCCCGCTTCACTTGGCTCACTCGCAGCAGTCTCATCTCCAGGCATCCCTTGCTGCCCCCTCTCTCTTACCTGCCATCCTCCTTAAACTTGCCTCAATGTCTTCTGACCCCATGTGATAAGTGGTATCTCAAGTGTTAATACAAGAGGTTATAAATGTTTTACGAAGTTCTCCTAAAAGTGTGAATATGGAGGTGGGAGGACCCGGGGAGGGAGGTTGGGGAAGGGAGCAGGGTCATGATATAGAATCTAGCCCTAAAGCCCAGGCACTCCCCTTCCCTTGTGAGAGCCACAGAGGAACATGTTGCCTCTCCCTCTTAGGCCCCTTGACTTTCCCTACTGCCCAACACCTTAGCCAGTGCTGGGCTTGCATAAGGTTACAAAAGAATTTCTTGGATATTTATTTTATTTTACTTTTTATTTTTTGAGGCAGAGTTTTGCTTTTTCGCCCAGGCTGGAGTGAAGTGGTATGATCTCGGCTCACTGCAACGTCAGCACCCTGGGTTCAAGCAATTCTTCTGCCTCAGTGTCCCGAGTGGCTGGGATTACAGGCCCCGCCACCACGCTTGGCTACTTTTTTGTATTTTTAGTAGAGATGGGGTTTCACCACGTTGGCCAGGCTGGTCTAGAACTCCTGATCTCAGGTGTCCACCCACCTTGGCCTCCCAAAGTGCTAGGATTATAGGTGTGGGCCACCGTGCCTGTCTTTCTTGGATATTTATTAACCATAAAACTTTAAAAAATAATCCTGGGGAAAACACATCTCTGCCCTCAGAGACCTTTACCATTGCCAAACCCTGTTTCCCACTTGCTCCTACGGAGTTCCCAGCTCACACACAGGGCCCTAGTTACACTGGGAGAAGACCCTGTCTTGTTGTCCCCAGAGGGCATGGGACCAGTTAGTCCCACAGCCACCAGCCCTGACGAGGGACTGCTGAGTCAGGAGAGTTAGAACAGGAGGGCCTTTGAATAATCACTGTAATCCCTCTCAACTTAGAGCGGACTGAGAAATTGCCCATGGGCTCCATAAAAAATGTGGTCAGTGAACCTATCGAAGGACATGAAGACTACCACATGATGGTAAGTAGCACTGGCTGAGTCCAGCCCCTCGCTAGACTCCTGCTTCATCTGGCAGGAAACAGTTTCAATTGAGCTTGTTTCATGGAAGAAAACGTAGTCTCGCCGGGCGCGGTGGCTCACGCCTGTAATCCCAGCACTTTGGGAGGCCGAGGCGGGTGGATCACAAGGTCAAGAGATGGAGACCATCCTGGTCAACATGGTGAAACCCCGTCTCTACTAAAAA